CAAATAAACTCTTAAAATTTTTAATATGCCTCAGTTTATCTTTTAACAAATTGTATACCCAACTTCTTGATTTCAAGAAGGTAAAGAAAAATAAGATGCCCCCAAAGAAGGCTTTATATTTGTTAACTATTTCATATACTCTATGTCATTTGATATTCAGAGCCATCTTATAAAAAGACAAAAACATTTAATATTATCCCCTTTTTAATCGATGAAGAAACAGAAGCATAACAGGGTAAGAAATTCGCCTAAGGCTACCATGCCAAGAATGGACTCAAGGGGACAACTTCAGTTCTCGTCTTCTTTTTCCTTGATGCATTAGAGACTTGTCTTATCGTTTACTCTCTTGATAGCATTATGATGCCTTTGTGTCACGTGAATAATATCTATTTTGTAGGTTTGGAACTGAGAATGGATAAGGTTTTCATAATGTAGATCATAATAGTCCAGATGAGCGACTTAATGCTGGGGTCACAAACAACTCCTAAATCCCAAGGGTTTTGCACAATAAAATTACTTCTCACCTTGGTTCAACAGTAACTCTCTTCACACCTGCTTGCATTTCACTGGGCTAGCTGCAAGGGAATGGAAAATGAAGGGGAGCAAATTAAAGGTTTCCAGAACATTATTCTCTGCCACAGAAGAGATATATATATATAAATATATATATATTTACATATTTATATATAATTTTTTGATTAATGAGTATATAAAGTAAGGCTTTTGGATCACGAGAGTTTGCAAAACATTACTGTGCTTTTATTTGTTTTGTGTTTGTTTTCGTTTCATTTTGTTTTCCCATAAAGAACCTCAAGATCACAGAAGTGGATTAATCTTGATCCTTGGCTCAGGCGCATTTACGGATGGTCCATGCACGGCTGTCTTCTATGTATGTGTATATGTCTGTATGTATTTTAATAACATAAAAAGCACCTGTGGACCTAACAGCCAATGTAAAAGCTCAGACTTTGGCGATAAGTTACATCTAACTGTGCAGTCCCCACTCCATCCATCTGCTGCCCCGCTCTGAGGTAACCATCCTCCTAATTACTATGTTTTTTCTCTCACAATCCTTTTAAGGATACTCTTTTAATATCATTTTATCTGACACACACACACACACACACACACACACATATATTGCTTAAAGGCATACATTTTTATTTTAGTTATTTTCTTTTCTTAATACATTAAGATTCATCCATATTGCTGCATGCCATCATAGTTCACTTACTGAGTGTTGCATAATAGTCTTTCGTTTGAGCATATCCCAGTTTATTCACTCTCTCTCCTTGGGGATGTGCATTTGCGATTTTCTCCAGTTTTTGCTGTTGCAAACAGCTTCCCAGGTACCTATGAGGCTTCATTTCTCAATAACTCTTCCTTTCCGGTCAAGCTTACATCCTCACTGGTCTCTTAAAAATACCATTCTATTTCCTGACGCTCGCCCTGTCTTCCTCGTCACGATGCCTTCGCGCTTCTTTCTGCATTTCCAATTCTATACATCATCCAAGAGCAAAGTGAAGTTTCGCCTCCTCTGTAAAAATTTCCATTTCCACTATAATTATAGGGTTCTATCTTGCTTCTGAATGTTTAAAATGTGTTTTATTCCAAACAATGTTTTGGTAAGTATTATAACTACAGTCATTAATCATCTACAAAATGCCAGGCAAGGACTCAAGCACTTTCCCTAGACTGTTTTGTTTAATCCTCAACATAATATTAAAATGTGGGGATTATTATCATTACTGTTTTTCAGTGCATTAATTACGCATTAATCATCTTAAGTGTTTGATGCCTAAAAGGGTTCATAAGACTCAGTTTACCCTCAGGCAAAGGACACAGCACAGCAACAGCAGGAGAAGGTACATATTCAAAAGGGTCCTGGAGTCCCAGGCATAGGCTTCCTTTTTCTCCCACCACTGAGTGGAGCCACACGCTGTTTCCAGATCTCAAACCACCATCAGCATTCATGCAAAGCACCTGCGTACCACGAAGTCCAAAGACTGTTCTCGGAGGGATATTCTTACCATGAGCCGGTCACTTGGCACATCCCAGCTATGAGACCAGCCTCAACTACTGAAACATGCCCCTCCCTCGACCTCCACCAAAACCTAACGTGACTCAAAAACCCCATAGTTGTTACTAAACAGTGCTAACGTGCTGATTCATCCTGCTCTGAAACAATACCCAGACCCATACAGAATAGCATTTGCCTTTAGTTAATAAGTCCCATAGCACTGACCAAGGGTCTGCAGCTCTGAGGAGAAGCGCGGAGTAGTCCACCCAGCACAGGGAGATTTCCCCAGGCTGTGCACACAAGTAAGAATCTAGGCTTAGAGAAGTTAAGTACTTCCCCAAGGTCACACAGCTACAGAGTGACGGAGCTGGTCTGACGGATGTCAAGCCTTGTGTCCTGGCTTTCACACATTATGGACTGACATGGACTGTCTTTGCTACCCTCCTGTTCTCAACAACTAGAAAATCTATAAAATATAAAACAGTGGGTATCAGACATTGGACAGCAGACAGCACAGGATGGAACATACAGTGAACATCATGATCCTTCCAGATGACCGCCTGGAGAGAATGCCAGGCTGTGGTGGGATGAACATGCCTCTCCTGACCCTTGGGAGTTCCAGGTCCCTTGCTACCCTGAAGTGCTTGTCACGTGCACGCATAACATGCACCCCTTCAGCCAACCTGAGGCACCCAGGCCCTCCAGGCCTGGGGAGCTGGGGCCATGCCCTCCCCTGCACAGTGTTCAGTGTGGAGGGGCCCAACCCAGACAATCACCCTGGGCAGCAGCTGCAAATTGGTGACAGTCACTCTCGCTTGGACTTGCTACATGAATGTCCAGGGCTCCACCAGCAACGAGGACACTCAGGTGTCTCTTAGAAGAAAACACGGCCTGCTCTCCGGGCCCTTCTTAGCAAGACACTGATGACGAGGCCTCTCGGACCCTGGCCTAGTTCCAGGTCCTTTACGCTTTTAGCTCCCTGGCCACCTTGAACTGCCCTGCTCCTGCCACACATAGCTCACACTTCTGAAACCTCCAGTGAGGAGGGGGCCCATTTCCGAAAATTACCGGGAGGGAAGGTACGAAATGTGATAATCAGTCCCCGAGTGGACTTGCAGTCTAAGGGGTCCCGAGCTTTTCCAGAAACGGGGCTTCCAGCTGCCTCTGATTAGAAGACACCCCAATCACCAACCTCCTGCCCTATCGACTCTAGCAGAGCAGGCCAGTATCCTCCAGCTCTGCCTTCCCAGTGAGCATGCGATTTGTGTTGTTTACAGCTTAAAGATAAGCAAATGCCTTTAGTCCCCAGACCCTGCACCACTAACCTGAGCTCTTCTGATCCGTGGTCCTTGGCCGCTCTGCACTATGCTGCCTGTGCATGCGCAGTTTGCACTTCTTCAGCGGGCTTAGGGCAGCCTGGGCCCTCGGGGCTTGCCAAACTGCGCCCCCACCCCAACCGCCTGCTTAGTCTCTGCATGGACAGGAAGCGACTCAGGCTTACCTGCAAATGGGCTACAGTCACACTGACAGATCCAGGCTTTTCCAGGTACCAAATTCCTCACGTGTGGCATAAGATGATGCCACCGCCACGCCTCCGGCCCTTCCCTAGCTCTTGTTCCTCAGGTACTCTCCAGTGCCCGACCATCTCCCGCTTCCAGATCCAGCTTCCAGCTGCCCTGAGGCTGGGCCCGCGCACGCGCAGTGCTCACCCCGTCAGTCCTGGGTCAGTCTGGCCCTGTGGAGTTGGGGCTGGCTCTAACAATCTGTATAGTCTCCAGTGAAAAGGCGGCTCAACTGGAAAATTACCCTGCAGTGGCAGCTACACATTGGCGACAGTCAGTTTCCATGTGGCCATGCTGCTCGTGGGTCCCTGGTTTCTCCAGGGACAAGTCCTCCTAGGTATCTTCTATGGTACCAAGGTCAGCCCATCCGACTTTGCTTTGGCAAGGCCGGCCAGTAGCCTCCTGCTGTGTTCAGAGAGACTGTGTTCAGAGAGAATTGGCGCCTTTGTGTAGTTTTGGGGCTTGGAAGCAGGCAGATGCCTTGTATCCCCAGTTCCTGCTCCTGTGCCCCACCTGTCTGGACCCAGGCCCGGTTTCAGTTCCACTGCCTTAAAGAGAGCTGCTTGCGCATGCGCGGTTCGCAGGTGCAGTTCACACTCCACTGGCATTGGGCAGGCAGGGACCTCCAGGTCTGTGGAGCTGGGGTCTGTCCCCAAACTCCTGCATAGTCTGTGCTGTGAAAGGGGTTCACCCCCCTAAGACACCCCGTCGGTGGTGCAATACAGAAGCTGAAAATCAAGTACAGTCAGTCTTATTTGGACTTGCTGCCTGTGGGTCCTCAGTGTCTCTTATTAGATTATTGCCCTCCGGCCTGCCTGGCTCTGCCCTTGAAAGGCAGGCCAGTGTCCTCCAGCTCTGACTTCAGGGGAGCATGCACATTTGTGTATGTTAGGGCTTGGAATGAAGCAAATGCTTTGTGTTCCCCAGATTCTGCTTCTGTGACTCGGCCTCTTGGGACTAGAATTGTCCCTCGTTACCATGTTCCTGGCTACACCGAATTGAGCTCTCTTGTGCATGCGCAGTTCTCACTTCTTCAGCCGGCCTGGGGCAGCCACGACCCTCTGGCAGTGGGGAGCTGGGGCCGGGCTCCACAATCCGCAGAGTCCAGAGTGGAGGGGGCCCACCCTGAAAATCACCTTGAGGCGCCAGCTGCAAATGGGGACAGTAGGGCCCCATTTGGACTTGCTACCTAATGGTATTTGAACTCTCCATGAACCAGGCCACCCAGGTGTCTCTCGTTACATTGGTCGCGGTCCCACCAAGCCAGGCTTTTGACTCCCGAAATATCCGGCTTGGGGTGATAGGGTCCTTTGTATAGGTGCGGTCTTGGACACTGGCAGATGCCTGCTTTCTGCCTAGAGCCCACGATAGTGACCAAAAAACAAACAAACAAAAACAACAAACAAAAACAAAACAAACAAAACTCTACTCGGTTTATTCATTTACTTTCTCCACATAAGATTATATCATGGCAACAGGTTGAGGCAAGAATTTTTTTTTTTTTTTTAATTTCTGCCCCAAGCACTAATTTAATACACTCTTCCAAACTCTTGCTCATATAATTAACTCAAAAAGAATTATCTCCCACTCAGCTCTGGGCACAGTGATCTCTTCTCTGCTTTGGGATATGCCTGGCGCTCCACCTTCAAGCATTTGCATTGGCTGCTCCCCTGGCCAGGAATGCTCTTCCCTTCAATATCCACAGGTCCTGTCCCCTGAGACCCTTCACATCTTTATTCCAATGTCACCATCTCATTACGATCTTCTCCAGGGTCCCATTTTAAATTACATACCACCAACACGTCTCATCTCCTCCCTTCCCTTCTTTAATTTTCTCCCTGGTGCTTATCACTAACATTCTAGATACTTATTTGTCTTGTTCGTCGTTGGTGACCTCCATTAGAATGTACGGTCCTCGAAGACGGACGCTTTTGTCCGTTTTGTCCCCTGCTGTATCCCCAGATCCTTCAACATGTCCGATGGCCTGTAGTGGGCACTCATTTGTCATATGAATAAATCAACCAGTAAAAGAACAAACTTTCAAGTGCTCCCTTCTTTATTATTTTTTTTAATCTTTCCTCACAGGTAGAAATGTGAATGTGTGGGGCCTCACCACGAGTCACCCCAACATGTGCTTCTGTGTATGCGGATTGTTTTGAACTAAAGGCAACTTTAGCCACAGGCTCAAGAGAAACTTCTGCCCCACACCCTCCCTTAATTACCTAGAAGAATTTGAATTAGAGGCCTCACCCATAAGAGATTATCAAAGATAACTTCTTTTGATCTAACTATAGGGCAGAGCAAACTGCTATTTACTAAAGGTCTGCTTTTCTTATCATCCTGAAATAATCTTCTGAAGTTCCCAAGGCATTTCACCTCATCCCTAGCTCTTGATGTCTCATGGACTCATTTTCCCTTTCTACCTCTGGAACTCTTGTGCATGTGGGGGTCTCTGACTCACATACGTGGGGTTCCCACACATACGTATGTATTAAATTTGGTAATTTCCTCTTGCTAATCTGTCTCACATCTATTTGACTGTTAGACCAGCCAGAAGAACCGTGAGAATAGAGGAAAGTTTGTTCCTCCCCCACAAACGAAAGGTGAGATGAAAGAAGACAAATGAATAGACGCGGTAAAGAAAGAATGAGGAAGCCCTTATGTTTGGAAAACCAACCCAGAACCTTAGCAGTTCAACCGTAACTGAACCAGTAGCCGTGCAATGCAGACTCTCCTGAAGACAAGTCTTGCATATTCAGCCCTTGCTACTCTTCTGGATTTTTCTCCAGTGGTGGATACACAGTCCAGGATAACCTTAGCAAAGTAAAACGTTAAACTAGAAGTGGTTACATTTTTTTCTACTTGCTGAATAAATATATGCCATTTGCTTAACAATTAATGCACACTTTCTCTTTTATGAAAAATAGCCATGATTTAAATCGATGTTTCATATTTGAATACAAGATTAACAACTTTTGCATTCGAAAGCATGAATCTGAGACTCTCACAGCCAATGGTGCAATATCTCATTAAAAATAATACAACTCAGTTGTCTCATGCTAATTTACATATAGATGTATTTATTTTGTATATGTATAAATGCATTTAAATAAAAAATAGTGTTGTCTCATGGCATGAATAAATCCAGTCAGTGAATGATATTCACACATTATGCAAAGTCTTACTTATTGAGACTGAAATGTTAAATATGCTAAAAAGAAGCCAAGGTTTTAAAAAGAGGACACAGAAGATAGTTGGTGAGGAATGTCTAAAAATACAGTATATGTCCCTACATTTGCATCAGGAAATTCCTACTGATAAAAAAATGTAGCTGAGTATATTTTTACATAACCAACACCATCTGCTAACCTAACGAACTTCTAAGGGTATTATTCTCATGCAGCTAAATAACTACAACTTTGAGTATTAGCCAGTCTCTTGTGATCAGTACTAATGTGCTTTTAAATCCAGTTGTCATGGAATTTCAAACTCCCTCACCATCGGAAATTGCTGCTCTTTCCGGCACACAAATTATGCTGTGGGTTTGCTTAGAGACTCCTTGTTGAAAAATTTTCTTGCCTCAATGTTACTGAGGGAAACAGAACAACGAGATGGATTCTGCCTTCTGTATTCGATACTTTCAATGATGGCATTCTTTATCACCTGCAAATAGAGGCAAAAGATGTATAATTAGGGCAGCTATGAACTCATTTAACCATTTGTTTGCTCAAAACAAAAATCTCATCAATCTTTTTATTAAAGTATTCTTTTCAAAATAGAGAAATATCTGAGTCATGTATATATACATTTAAATTCAACATCCCACCGTTATAGTCTTGTTAAACTCATATCCAAATACTCTTCCTTTCCTTACCAGAGAAAAAGAACTATTCTGGGAGCGTTCTAGATTTTGTGCTGATCAAATTGGGAATAGAATACTTGTAACATGGTAAATTTATCTTCATTCTGTCCTTCACTGAGAAAGTGATGAGAGTGAAGAAAGAATAATTACAAAATCTAGAATTTATGTTCTTTACAGTTAGTGGACAAGTGGAAATGAAGGATCACAAGTAAAAGACTTACCCTATGCCTAGAGAGGAGAGAAGTCACGGCTAAGGAATCACCCCACTTCCTCAGCCAAAACAGTT